TCATCTGTCAGTCTCAAACTACCAAGAAGTTCCGAGACAGATGCAATCGATGCATACCGGAGAAAATCACAATAATTAGCTGTAAAAATGCTGGCCAATTGTTGAATAAAAAAAAATGAACTTATTTTCAAGTGTCAACACAAAAACAGATTCAAAATTCCAGAAAAACATTAACTTTACGGGATATACACTTGAAATGTTGTCTCTTATTTTATATGTAGAAAAACATATGTGTGTACATGTATTCATATGCTTGTATTTGTATATGTAGTTATATTACATGTCACAAATTTTTTATATATAGGTCTGTAGATATAGTTAATTATTTATGTGATTGTCTTGCTGATGCCTACATAATATATATTTTTTATTTACTATTTATATTCAATATGTTTATATTTTATTAATATTAATAGTATTATCATTATTTTTATCTGTATAAAAAATATTCCAATTTTGTTTATTATAATTATCTACATATATTAGTTTTTTGTTGATTCATTTTATTTTATTTATTATATTATTAGATATTATTATTATTATTAGTAGTAGTAGTAGTAGTAGTAGTTCAAAATGATGAATGTTTTATATGATTTTGATTGCTGTCTAAACTGTCATGGCTATTAGCCACTTTGTTGTAACCCTTTTTTCCCTGTATCTCTATCTTCCTTACCCTGTACATGAGCATTTTTATGGACATTTTTCTAGGTCAGTTTATTTATTTTTGCATTGGTCAATCATTTCTTCCTTCTTTCCTTTCTTTTCTTTTCTGTCTCTCTTTCTCTTTCTCTCTCTCTCTCTCTCACACACTCTCTCTTTTTTCTTCACACAATTCTTTTATTATCTTTAAATTTTTATTTTTCTTATTTTTCCTCTCTCTCTCCTTTTCATCCCGATTTATTTGTCTGGATGGATTGATGTCATTTCTTGAAAATACTCTGTCTGAAGAGATGAATATAAAAACATTTTTTATTTATCATTATATTGCTCTGTAACTTACATAGAGCTTTCATTGATTAAATTCGTCCTTGAATAATCCCTACCAATTACAAATTGGTATTATATATATATATATATATATATATATATATATATATATATATATATATATAATACTAACATAATTTATAGTGTAACAGTCAAACCAATAAAAAGAGAGACAAAAACGCCATTGTAAATGGCTATGGAAGTGACCAAAGCGCTTGGGACAATAAAAATTATGGACAATTTATATATTCCGTATCTCCTATAAAACGGAAAAATGTTAGGATGCTGGAAAAACTTAAAAGAAATAATTCAATCTTTCTTGTCAGTCGTACTGAATGAAAGATGTTCCAATGAACGGTTGATGTGAAAATATACATTAATTAAATTACATGACCCGGCAGCCAGCAAGGGACATAACACCAGCACATTCTGGAAAAACGTCATGGAACGACAATAAATCCCAAGAGAGGACGGTGCATTTTAAAACTGAAAGTCAAAAAAAATACAAAGATATTCTCAAAAACACAATGAGAACAAGGGAACTAACATAACGCCATTTTAACTACCTCTATAGTACGTTAGATCTCAACCAACAACACAGCATTACTAAAAAAAACTTATACAATGGAAAGATTGTACTACCCAATGGTAAATATAACTTCCTAATCTTGTTTGATCACGAACTCACTGACTATCAAATAGAATTCTTGAATTGCCACCTTCAACCTCGATACGATCCCAAACAAAAACCTAAATTGAAATACTCTACCAATCAATCCAACAGCTAACAAAACAAAAAATTAATTAAGGTGCACCGAGATCTGGGAGGTTTTCCAAAAGCGGAAGGTTTGAAAAACTGTTCTCCACACAGAAAATACAATAATATCCTCGCAAACTCAAATCAACTGAAATTAGGCACCAACTCTCATATCATTATCAAACGCGCTGATAAATCCAATAATTATGTACTTTTCAACCGACAAGACTATAACAAAAATTTACAATTTATCCAAGATGACACAAACAAATTCACTTAATTCTGGAACAATCCCACAGATTCATTAAAATTTACGTAAATAAACTTATCACAGCGAACAACGCTGAGGTTGATAGTTTAAAAATCAAGAAAATTGTCGTTGATTACCAACCACGATATATGTATGGTAAAGTAAAGACCAATAAACCAGGTTTTCTTCACCGACCTATCATATCACAAATACCTACATCTATATAACAACCATCAAATCTCTCAATCACATAATTTCGCCATAGACACCCAATAATTACATCATTGCGTCAATAAATGATGTTATTAACGCAGCTATAACTGATATTTACATTATTTTGTTAAAAAAAATCTTCCCTGGTGTTGTTGAGTGATTACAGCCCAAATGAAAAACTATTCTTTACAGACGCATTTCATCCCCTGGTCGAAATTATTAGAGGACAAAATGCGTCGGTAATGATTAGTTTTTCCTGATTTGTTTATTCACATTGTCTTTATTACAGAGATTTGTTTTATTCATATAAGAATTTCTACAGATTCCAGTCATACATTTGCCGTTTAAGGAACAGATCCTATTTTTCGACAGTTGCGTTTATTCTTTTTTTAAATTAACGTTATCTAATTTGAAAATTTATTTATTTAATATAATGTTGTTATGTTGGTATATAGATTTATCGATGTTATCAACGCAGCTATAACTAATCTTTATGATATTTTTGTTGAAAAATCTTCCTTAGTATTGTTGAGAGATTAAAGCGCTAATGGCTTAAATTTAGGAAAATTCGTCCAATATTCGTTTGAACATAACGATTAAATGGGGGATTAAAGCATTTTATATTACGCCTACGGTATTTCTGTTTATTCTTAACTTTTTTGTTTTTTCTAAATATTCTAAATTTACTATATGGCTGTTTAGTTCTAAAAGTTTTGGTCTCACGATGTCCACTGACCTGAAGTGGAACAACTACATTGAATCAATAGCTTCATCTACCGCAAGGAAAGTTGGTTCTCTGTGTCGCATCAGAACGTCCATCCTCCAAATCTACAAATCAACCATTCATCCTTGCATGGAATACCGCTGCCATATAGAGTCTGGCATTCCCGCTGTTCATCTCGAGGTCCTCGACAAAACCTTTTTCTTTGCTAGACCTGTATTTGTTTAATATAATATTCTTGTTTTGGGATATAGATTTATCGATGTTTTAAATGCAGCTATAGCTGATCTTTATATTATCTTTGTTAAAAAATCTTTTTAGTATTGGTGAGTCATTAAAGTGCTTATTAATTAAATTTAGGAAAATTCTTCCAATGTTCGTTTGAACATTACGATTAAAAAGTGGCTTAAACTATTTTATATTACGCCTACGGTGTCTGTTTATTTTTACTTTTTTTTGTTTTGTTCCAAATATTTTAAATTTACTCTATCGCTGTTTAGTTCTAATGTTTTTATATATTTAATTTTATTATTATTATTATCAAATATTTCCTTATTCCTGGAGTAATTAAAAAGCCTATCTTGGACTGATTCATACAAATTATTTCAAACATTCTATGGATGGTTGGAATCATTATTATCGTATCTGTGGTTATGTAGATCTTTGGTATACAGTTTGTAATAACCGGTCTTCAAGTCCAAGGTCACGTCGAGAAAGTTGATCGCTTTAGCAATGGTGCTTGTAGTAATAGCTGGTGATCTTTTAAAAAGTTATCACTTCCTTTCTCGATCAGTCTATGTTTCTTGGACTTGTTTCACGGAGGTAGGATTACACCGTCATCTCTGTATTAGTTCGGCATCCTTAATGTCGAAAATAAATCTTAATCTTCACAATAACAAAATTCCAACAACTTTGCATGCCTCAGCAGAATCATATGCTCCCATAGCAATGTTGAATTCTGTATTATTTCTTTTGGTCCACAGTTAAACATTATGGAATAATATAGGTTTTTGCGCCTGCTTTATGGTGTTAATTTAGTATCGCTAATAGGGTAGTAATCATTAGTTAAATTGATGGCAGGCATTAGCAGAGTCTCGGTGATTGACGGGTAAAAATCACAAATATTGAATTGGATGAACGCGCCTGCACACACACACACACACACACACACACACACACACACACACACACACACACACACATATGTTAACATTTGTACATAAATACACATCCACCCAGGTATATACATATATTAGTACCTTTTTTGCATATTTGTACATAAAATCACATATATACATACCCAGTGATATATACCTGTGCAGATATGCATACACACCCGCATATGCACATCATAGAGCCTTTTTTATATGTATACATGTAAACACATATTCATACATATCACTATTTATATATACCCGTACGTACTTATATATGTATATGTGACCCACGTATACACCCGTGCACGCGCGCGCACACACAAAAACAAGCACAGACTCACATAATCATTTTTCAGTTTGAGGCGTGCTATTTTTCCCTAATTTGTTTGCTTACATATGCATATATACATACATACATATACATACATACACAAATTCTTCTTCTTTATGTAATGTGTTCCATCAGAATGTAGGCGATCATGGCTCTCCACAATTTCCTGTTCTTTGTAGCTTTGAATTAATTTTGTCTTTTGTGTTATTTCTCCTAAAACCTGTTCCGCCATCCTGTTATTCAAGCTCACGAAGTATGTTATGCATTGTTTTCCTGTGTCCCTCTTGCCCTTAATCTGTTCTGTGAGTATCAGATTTTCCAAGCCTTCCTTCCTCATTATGTGCCCCAGAAATTAAAATTGTCTCTTCCTGGTGTTAAGCATAAGTTTCTTTTCTGTTTCCATTTTCTCTAAAGATTCGTCGATGATCACATGTTCGGTCCATGCTTGCAATGTCTATTTCATTCAGATCTTTTCTATTTGTTTTTGATTGATCTATATTTCCTTCTGCTTTTTCAGATCTATTTCAGTGGGCTTATACCTTGTTTCGTTCTCCTGCCATGCACGATTCATTCAAGTCCAACACATGTGGCTTTCATATAGATTATATTCGTCTTTCTTTCTTGCTGCTTCTCAGTGACCATTTTTGATTCTTTCCAAATGACCCCTACTTTACGTGTTTAACATATATATCTTGATGCTTCCAGCATCCTGCCTGCTCCGCAACTGTGACGTACGGACGTCTTTGTCATTGGGGTTCCTTCATGACAACTTCCCACTCTTAAAGTTCACACCCCACTTCTGGCTTATTTCTCCGCTCTGCGAATCCTGACAGCTCTTCCTCTAGGGAGATTTCTGACTTTGACAGGTTTTAAACATCCGGGAATCTCGCTGTTTCCCGACATTATTTTACTCCAGAACCTCATCTTGCGTCGCTGGAACATCGTCTGAAGCAGTTTTTCTTGTTTTTTTTTGGTTTTTTTTGTTGTTGTTTTTTTCTTGCTTTTGGTACTTTCACTTTTACATTTTGTTTCAAATAAATTTTTAGATATTAGATTGAGTGTTTATCATTTTCTTTACAGTTTCTCTAAGTATTTAAAAAAAAAAAAGAAGTTTCCAAACATCTGTTTACTTGTTCCCCTCGAACAATGTATCTTCTGCTTCACACCGTCACCGCTTACTAGATTTTCAACTTTTCTCGTCTCTTTTATTTATATATATATATATAATTATATATATATATATATATATAATGAACAACAGACACTTTAAGGTACCTTAAAGTGTCTGTTGTTCATTAAATATTGGCTGTTCTTCATTTGAGCTCTCAGGTTTTATCCTCTTTGGAATTACCTATTCGGTTTACCAAATTCTTCATAACTTAAATATATATATATATATATATATATATATATATATATATATATATATATATGTGTGTGTGTGTGTGTGTGTGTGTGTGTATGTAGCCATTTTTTCTTTCTTTCTTTCAATCATTCTTTCTTTTATTCATGCTTTCATTTATTCTTTCTCTCATTCTTTCTTTCTTTCATTCTTGCTTTCTCTTATTCTTTTTTTCTTCTTTCATTCATTTTCATTTCATTTTCTCAGTTCTTCTTTCTCCCATTATTTTTTTTTTCATTCCTTCTTTCGTTCATGGTTTCATCCATTCATTCATTCATTCATTTATTCTTTAATTCATTCTTTCTTTCTTTCTTTCTTTCTTTCTTTCTTTCTTTCTTTCTGTCGTTCATCCTTTTTTTCTTTTACTCATTATTTCTTTCTTTCATTCATTTCTTTCTTTCTTTCGTTCTTTCTTTCATACATTCATCATTTTTTTTCTTTCTTTCATTCATTCTTTCTTTCTTTTATTTTCGTTTTCTCTTCTTTATAATCTTTTTATTGTTACGTGTTTGTTTTAAATACTATCCATTTTTAAAAAATCTATCGATATATTTTCCTTTTTTCCGCTCTACAACGACAAGATGATGTTTAAAGAACAAATACTTTTCTTACCTTGAGATTTTATATTAGAATTTCGTTCTTCCTCCCCATCTCTTCCCACCTCTCCTTTTCTCTCCGAGTTTTCTCATTTTCGCTCTCTTTCTCACCTATGCTCTCTTCCTCTACATACGTGCTACTCCTTTTCTCTTTCTTCCTCTCGTCCCCTGCCACTCATGTTCTCCTTCTTACACTCTGTCACTCTTCTTTTCTCCTCCTCTCTCCTTCTCCTTACTCTTTCTTCTTGATCTTTCTCTATCCTTCTCTCTTCGCTCTCATTCACATAATCTTATTCTCTCCTATTCTCTTTGATCATTCTCCTCCTTGCTCTCTCCTTTTTCTATTCTATCCGTGTCGCTATCTAGCTCTACTTCTCACCGTTTATCTATAGCTCTCTCATGCCAATTTCCTACTTTTTTCTCATTATCTACCTCTCCCTCTCTCTCGTCCTCTCTTTCTCCGTCTCCCCGTCTCTCACTTCAATTCCTTCTCTCTAAAATTCTCTATCTATTGCTCACTTTATTTCTCTTCATTTCACTATCACACGCCCATTTTACCCCTCTCCTTCTCCATCTCCTCCTTTCGCTCTGTCTGTCTCTATCCGTTTTACAAGGACATTTCTGACACGCGTTTAAACACGAACAATCCACTTTTTTTCCTCTTGTTTTTTTTTCTTTTTTCTTTCATTCAATCTACACCTTCCTTTCATCAACTACTGCAACCTCGGCCTTTCTGTCCTTTTGTTTTTATGCACTTGCTGTCATTCAGTCTCCTTCGATAATCACCAGAATATTGTGCAACTTCGAAACGACAACAACAACAATAATAATAATAATAATAATAATGATAAACTAGCAAAACACAAGGACCTTGAAATCGAAATCTCAAAAATGTGTCACATGAGGATATCGACATTTCCAGTTGTCGTTTGAGCCCTCAAATGGTTTGCAATGGATTGCAAAACATTCTAATAGACTCCTTGTAGCTTATACCTTTAAAAAATTGTTCTCACAAGTACAGCCCACACCTTACGAAGGGCTTTATCTATGTAAAATATGTGGTTTTATTTTTAAAACTGCTCAGTGCAAAATGTCATTTTGCCATTTCTGACCTTATATCTCTGGTCGGGACCCGGAAAGAAATGAGTATACACCAGAAACCAAAGGAAATAATAATAATAATAATAATAATAATAATAATAATAATAATAATAATAATAATTTTGGTAAAAATAAGCAAATGCAAATACCTGGAGATGAAAATAGAAAAATGTGTTACTTAAAAACTAACACTGTTCTTCTTCGGGTTGGATTTTTGGTACTGATCAAGAAAGGAACTCAAGAACAAATAAACCAAATGCTTGGTACGCTAACTCTCCAGGCAATCCAAAAAATTAGTTCTAACAAATAAAAACTTTTATCTTGCTAAGAACTTTACCCATTTAGTCTTTTTAATGGTTAGCTTTTTAATGGTTAGCTTTTTAAGCGGAAAAAAACAAAAGCATATCTTGCCCTAGATCATTAGTTAGGACTCAGCATGTGCTTATAAAACAAATCTTGGTGAAAAATAATTTTTTATAATAATTATAATAATAATAATATTAACAGAGAAATTTTTGTCAAGTATAAAGATTTAGAAATAATAATTGAATGAATGTGAATCATGAAGATAACACCGATATTGGTTATAATCCGTGATTTTGGTTTTCTGAAGAAAGGGATGGAAAATACACCACCAAAATCTCTAGCAACATCAAGATGCTAGAATTTTAGAACATCACCGTGCCCTTTACTGATTACATATTAAGGAAAACTATACACATTAAATAAATCCATCAAACACGATGGTAGCCACATGTCTATGGGTCGGGCACAGTTTCATGAGGAAAATATCTTCAGAAATCTAACAAAATACAACGACCTTGAAATCGAAATCTCAAAAATATGTACATGGGAACATCAACAATTTTAGTTGTAGTTGGGTCCCTCGTATTGATTGGAAAATATTCCAATAAATTTATTGAAGGGATTCCTCGAAGCCCATGCCTTAAAAAAATGCAAAAAAACAAAATATTATCACAATTACAGCCCACACCATACGAAGGGTTTATCTATGTATAATATGTCGATTTTTTTTTCAAAATTGCTCAGTGGAAAATGTCATGATGCCATTTCTGATCTTAGGTGTCATGATACCATTTCTGTTTTTAGGTGACATGATGTCATTTCTGTTCTTAGGTGTCATGATACCATTTCTGATCTTAGGTGTCATGATACCATTTCTGTTTTTAGGTGCCATGATACCATTTCTGATCTTTGGTGTCATGATACCATTTCGGTTTTTAGGTGTCATGATACCATTTCTGATCTTAGGGGTCATAATACCATTTCTGATTTTAGGTGTCATGATGCCATTTCTGATTTTAGGTGTCATGATACCATTTCTGATTTTAGATGTCATGATACCATTTCTGATCTTAGGTGTCATGATACCATTTCTGATCTTGGTGTCATAATACCATTTCTGATTTTAGGTGTCATGATGCCATTTCTGATCTTAGGTGTCATGATACCATTTCTGATTTTAGGTGTCATGATACCATATCTGATCTTAGGTGTCATAATACCATTTCTGATTTTAGGTGTCATGATACCATTTCTGATCTTAGGTGTCATGATGCTATTTCTGATCTTAGGTGTCATGATACCATTTCTGATCTTAGGTGTCTGGGCAGCATCCGGAAAGAAATGAGTGCACACAAGAAATCAAAGGAATAATAATAATAATAATAATAATAATAATAATAATAATGTTATATAGGAACAAAATGTCGTTACCGACACTTGAGTTTGAACATAGATCGCCAGTAGAGAAACACAGGCGATCCCATTATTGAATTAAGTAGACTAAGTGGCCATAGAGGAAACACATATATGTAAGAAGTAGCTGATGACTAATGATCGCATTTCTATTCTATCCTCTGTTACTATTCGGATTGCTATTTCTAGTCTATCTTCTATTGCTATAGGGACCTCTAATTCTCTGCTCTATTCACTATACTATTCCTCTGTTCGGATCACTGTACGGATTACTATTCGAGAGAGTATTATCGAGCAATTACAATTCGTGCGAGTGTTATTAGAAGGCGTCCGACACCAGCGTTGTTCAGTAGCGTGCTATAGTTTTATCTGCGGTTACAAAGTCTCTACTACAACGATCACTACGAAAGTGACAATGAATATTCGTTGACATCGCAAAAATATATTTCAGATCGTTTAGTTTAATATGTACTAATCAACTAACAGAAAATTTTAAGATAAACGCGATCTCCATCATGTTGCGCACCTTTAAATTGCATTGCATTCACACTTTTTAAATTGCATTGCATTCACACTGTCTACATTTCACTCACTTTGACGCGCTCCTTACCACTACGACTGTTTTTCTCAGGACAAGCAACGTCTGTATAAAGACTTGTATTTTTTTTTATACTCACATACATAACAAGATAGCGACATGTGTTCACAAGAAGACGTGCAAGAAGCACAAAATCGAAACCACTGAGAGATGGTATGAGCACCAACCAGACACAGTTACTCGAAATCGCGATGTAACTATCCTGTGGGATATGCCAATTCAAACTGACAGGGAAATAACAGCCAACAGACCTGATATTATCGTAAAAGACCAGAAAATCAGAAAGTGTATGCAATACCATATGAGTGAAACCCCGCCATGAAAATTATCGAGAAATTGTCCAAATACAAGGACCTGTGAATGGAGATTAACAGGGTGTGGGGAATGAAGACTGAGACTGTACCAATAGTAATCGGAGCTCTGGGTCTCGGGAGAAAAAGAATGGACAATTGTACTAAAAATGTCCCAGGTAACATCAACATACAAGTTGCCCAGAAAATCGTCCTACTAGGAACATGCCATATACTAAGAAAAGTGCTATTAATTAAATGACGAATCTCCTAAATGAGCTTAAGGACCATAGTTTGGACCCGACTCGACACGATACAAAGCAGGAAATATAACATACACAAATAATAATAATAATAATAATAATAATAATAATAATAATAATAGCAATCATAATAATAATTATGGCAATTCTAGAAATATATTCAACATTTTATTACCTCTTCTTTTAATATCTTTTTTGTATTGATGTTTCTTTTTAAACTTTCCACTTTTTTTTTCTCTTTATCGTATCTCCTCCATTTTATTTCACATTGCGTCACCCCCCACACACCTATACTTTCCTCGTACTTCTTTCGAATTTGTTGATTAGCTGCGATTTGTTGGAGACATTCATCCAGCAAACACATGGCGTTCGGAGTTGTCCATCTAGTATTCTTTAGGGATATTTTTGACTTGCAAGAATTTCTTTACAAAATCCTTCATACTTCTCATACATTATGTTCTTTAACTGTATTTTTCTTTTACTCTGTTTAGAAATAATGTTTAATAATTATATTTTTTTGGCAGATTCTTGGCTAAGTGACAATTGAAATTACACTGGGGTCTGTATAGTTTCATTCTGAAACATTCCTTCTGTCGATTCACTTTCTTTAAATGCCATTCTTTACGGCATCCCTTCATGAAAATCAGACTGAAGTGTTTTAGAATCGAATGCTTATATAGTAAAAAGAAATTCCAGCAGGATTCATTATCGTAAACGTCTATCAGTAGGACAAAGCGAAGACAACGTCTCAACATTCATTTCATTGTCGGACATCAATCTTCATTTCAGGATTGAGGCATGGAAAAGTGTACAGGGCGTCTTCGAAATTTAACCCAACTTGTTAATGCTACGAAGTAAAGAATAAATATTTAATCTATATATACATTTCTGTGATTTCCGTTAGTCCGTCAGTCACACCCTCTAAAATAGCTATATATTAACCGATCGAGACTAAATACTGGAAAGACGTGAAAACAAATAAGGGGTACAAAGGACAGTTAATCTTTACTAGGGTACGTAGCTTAGTAAAATAATTTTTCATTCATTCTTCTTTTAAATATTAAATGTTTTATTACTAATCATACAACATATTCCCACTGTTTTAAAAACAATATAATGATTAAAATAACAAATACTTATTAAATAAAAATGCAATATTGTTTTCTGCATATCTTTTAAATTTTTATATACAGGGTTGTTTTTTTTTAAAGCATTACGCCCCGAGCAAGGCGTGAAGCCACTAGGATGCAGGGGGTTGCAGAAGATTTGGAGCGAAAGCAGATAGGAGTGATAGAAAAAAGGATGAGGAGAAGGGTAGTGGGTAGATCAAGGTAACTGGAGGTGTTGATTGACATTACATTTGAATAGTTGGAGATTATAGCTCTCAGGGAAACAGTAATTGGGAAGGGTGTTCCACAGGCGAGAGGTGCGATGTATGAAGCTATTGGAGTAGAAAGGACGGCTACATTTAAAAGTTTCTACAGTGTAAGTGTGGGAGCGGGATGCCAGCCTCGTAGGGCGCTTGAATTCATGGAGTCTGGGAACCAGTGAAAGCAGCTCATCGGAGCAATTACCATAAAAGTATTTGTAGAAAAGACGGTGCGTCTGTGAGAGAGTGACTGTAGACGAGACGCCAGATCAGGGCCAATTATAT